TGTAATACACAAACCACACAAGTTATCCTATCCTGGTTTCTTGGGCGGACGGGAAAGATTCTGGGCAGGATTTATTGTGCAATCACTCTCATCTCTCTTCTCTAGGCCAGGATTTAAATTTGCCTCCACAATGGAAGATGTTAACTGGGAGGACTTCATCCTTGAAGATTTATTGGATGGAGATTTCAGTAATTACACTTACAGCACTGATCTGCACCCTATTCTACCAGATTCTGCCCCATGCCGGCCAGAATCCCTGGAAATCAACAAGTATGCTGTGGTCATCACTTCTGCCCTGGTGTTCCTGCTGAGCCTGCTGGGAAACTCCCTGGTGATGCTGGTCATCTTGTGCAGCTGCGTCAGCCGCTCTATCACCGACGTCTACCTGCTGAACCTGGCCATGGCCGACCTGCTCTTCGCCCTGACCTTGCCCATCTGGGCCGCCTCCAAGGTGAACGGCTGGATTTTTGGCACAGCCCTGTGCAAGCTGGTGTCGCTCCTGAAGGAAGTCAACTTCTACAGTGGAATCCTCCTGCTGGCCTGCATCAGCGTGGACCGCTACCTGGCCATTGTCCACGCCACACGCGCTCTCACCCAGAAGCGCCACCAGGTCAAGTTCATATGTCTGGGCACATGGGCCCTGTCCCTTTGCCTGTCTCTCCCGGTCATAATTTTCCGTACGACCATCTACCCGCCCTCCTCCAGCCCAGTCTGCTATGAGGACATGGGCAACAGCACAGCCACGTGGCGGATGGTGCTTCGGATCCTGCCCCAGACCTTCGGCTTTGTCCTGCCCCTGCTGGTCATGCTGTTCTGCTACGGATTCACGCTGCGCACGCTGCTTAAGGCCCACATGGGGCAGAAGCACCGGGCCATGCGGGTCATCTTTGCTGTGGTCCTCGTCTTCCTGCTCTGCTGGCTGCCCTACCACCTGGTCCTGCTCGCAGACACCCTCAGGAGGACACAGGTGATCTCGGAGACCTGTAAGCGTGGCAACGACATTGATCGGGCCCTGGATGCCACGGAGATTCTGGGTTTCTTCCACAGCTGCCTCAATCCTTTCATCTACGCCTTCATTGGCCAAAAGTTTCGCCATGGACTCCTCAAGATCCTGGCCACCCATGGCCTGATCAGCAAGCAGTTCTTGCCCAAGGACAGCAGGCCTTCCTTTGCTGGCTCTTCCTCAGGGAACAGGTCCACTCCCCTCTGACACTCCTGCCTCAGTGCAGCCCCTCAGGGTTCCTCCATTCCCCTCAGTGTCCCCTTCCAAGCCCCAAATCCACTGGCTGTTCATGGTGTGAGTGTCACTGTAGCCCCCACTGTCATTGCAGGAAGGGGCAGAGGCCCTGTCCTCACCAGGCCCCCACTGCGTGGTTTAGAAAGTCTGCCCTGGTGCCCACCCCTTGCCCTCATCACTAGGCCAGCGCTAGAGCTCTGTCCATCCTGCCACTGGCCACAGCACTCTGCTTTGTAAGAAGAGCAAATCAAAACCCCAATGAGATACTGTAACAGAGTAGTCACCTTCCTCCCATATATGTGGAATGGTAGTATTGATAGTGGACAATATGAACAGAGGGAATAGTCTGGGGAAAAAATGCAGCAGGAATATATCTGCCTCTTTACAACACTCCCACTTCTTTTTGAAAACTAAAACCTGCATCCCCGCTTCTGGCCACTTGGGAGAGACAAAGGAATGTCCTTCGTTCCTTGTGTTATAGGACATGGCTCAACTGAAATTCTCCAGGCAGAGGTTGGGGCAGATGTCAGGAGATTGTCTTCCCCCTGGATGGGACTGATCAGCATCATCAAATGTAGTGAAACAACAATTGCCTAAAGCTGAATGGTCTCTCTTTAACAGCTCTGTATTTCCACTTCTGTATGGGGAATTTTACATTTTGAGAGAGGAGTGTATAATTTTTCCCCTTTGCTGGCAAAGTAATAAACTGCTCTTTCCATGTCCTCAGACTATTCATTGTTGTTCTTCTGATGTAGTCTCCAGAAGTTCTGATCTTTCGGTAAGAATACCACATCACACTCGTTAGGGTGACAATTATCCAAAGGAAAAATACCCTATGAAATGCAAATGTTGGTGAGGCTGTAGAGAATTGGAACTCCTGTGCGTAGCGGTGTGAATGGACAATGGTGCAGTCTCTGTGGAAAACAGCAGGACATCTTTCCTCAAAACATTAAGCATAGAATGACCACACTATCCAGCTATTCCTCTTCTAGGAACATATCCACAAGGATTCAAAGCAGGGGTCCACATAGACATTTGTACGCCCATGTTGATAGCAGCATTATTCACGAGAGCCAAAAGGTGGAGACACCCACGAGTTCAGCAGTGAATGAATGGATAAACAAAATGTGCTGTAAACCTACAACGAAGTATCATTCAGCCTTACAAATGAGTGCAGTGTAAAGATATGTTACAACATGGGTGAACCTTGAACGCATCACGCTGAGTGAAATAAACCAGGCATAAGTGGACAAATATTATATGATGCTGCTTCTATGGGGAACCTAGAATAGTCAAATTCACAGAGACTGAAAGGGTAATAGTGGCTCTGTAACTGAGGGAATGGCCTGAGGCCAAAATAAAACAAAAGAGAAATATTTTTTAAAAATACTTTCTGCTCCTTTTTGAGAACGAAAACCTGCATCCCTACCTCAAGCCAGTGGTTGGGAGGAGCGGGTGAGTCTTTGTTAGAGGAGCTAGCTCAGCCATCCCAGGCCCGAGCCAGCCCCCAGGTGGGCTGAGTTCACAGGCTTTGTCTTTGGCAGCAATGGGATAATTACAGTCATTAACACAGCAGCCTAGATCTGAGGACCCTCCCTTTAAAAGCTCTGGATTTCTTCTTATGTTGAGCCGATTTGGATTTTGAGCCAAGAAGGTTTATCATTTTTCTTTCTTTTCTGGCAATGCAGTAAACTTCTATTTCCTTTTCCTCAAACCATTTGTTCTCGTTCTTCTGATGCGGCCAAGAGCAACAGTGCCAAGCTTTTGGTAACAGATTTTGGTGTCTCTGGGTGGGCCTGATCGGCGGCATGGTGAAATGGCATCCTGGAATAGGGGAGCAGCCCTGGCCAAGCTGTGGGTCCTCAGTGGAACGTGCACCTTCTTTTTGGGGTGAAAGCATATGGGAAAATTCCAGCAACTGCCAGGGCAGTTAGCCTTTTGTAAAAAGGAAAGACATTAGAAAGACATTGCCCAAAAGGTACAAGAGCCTCCAGGTAGTAAGAAGCCTCCAGGACAGAAGAAGTTTTCTTTTTCCTTTTTTTTTCTTTGAGACAGAGTTTCACTCTGTTGCCCAGGCTAGAGTGCTGTGGCGTCAGCCTAGCTCACAGCAACCTCAAACTCCTGGGCTCAAGCGATCCTCCTGCCTCAGCCACCCGAGTAGCTGGGACTACAGGCATGCACCATCATGCCCGGCTAATTCTTTCTATATGTTTTTAGTTGGCCAATTAATTTCTTTCTAATTTTAGTAGAGATGGGGTCTCACACTTGCTCAGGCTGGTTTCAGACTCCTGACCTTGAGCGATCCTCCCCCTTTGGCCTCCCAGAGTGCTAGGATTACGGGCGTCAGCCACCATGCCTGGCCGAGCCTCAGAGTCTTAGTGTAAATGCTGGGAAACATCTCAGGCCAGGGGCTCAAAGCCTCTGAAAATATTGTGAGAAAATGACCTCCTTGATAAATTGTTATTAAAAGCTGTGTCTATTCTCAATCCTGCCACACTTTTGACTTTACGACATGGATATTTAGAGCAGGGGCCCTCAAACTACGGCACTCAGGCCACATGCAGCCCACCAAGGACATTTATCTGGCCTGATGAGTGGTTTTGCCACCGCTGCCTGTCCTGCTCAGCAGCCGACTCGTCCTGGGCCCACAGTGCGCATGTGTGGAATGTGCACCGCACTCTCCAACGGTCCTCCAATGGTCTGAGAGACAGTGAACTGGCCCCCTGCTTAAAAAGTTTGAGGACCCCTGGCTTAGAGGCTCTGGAGACTGTATTCTAGCAGGATGGATGTGTGGGTTCAGCCGATGCCAGAATGAGATTGGGATCTTTTTCACCGAGGAACAGCTTTATGGACAATGAGGGACTGGATGTGCCGTGATCACGGCAGTGGCACTGCCACCTGGGACTTCAGCCCAGGAAGCTGAGTTGCAGTTATCAAGAGGAAAACGGTAAACATTTGTACAGACTCTAAATATGCTTTTATGATTATACATGCTCATAGTGCCATTTGAAAGAAAAGGTGTCTCCTGACAGCAGGAGATAAGAATATTCAGTATGACACTGAAATAATAGCCTTGACACTGGCTGTGGCTGAGGCTAGGCAGGTGGCCAGCATGGCAAAAGGAACTCAGGCCACTGGCAGAGCTGCTAAGAAGGCCCCTGGAGGTGATCTGTTCTCTGGGCCTTGATACCCCGGCTAGATTTAGATTCCCTTTGAAGCTAAGGGATGGGACCCTGCCATTGGGGGTGGCACACCTAAGTGGAGACAGAATTCTCATGGACTCATTCTCCTACCCAAACTTTTGGTTTGGCCTACTATGAGGCACCTACATGAATGCCTGAATGGGTTTGGGAACCTCATTTGGGGAAGATCCTGTTTGCAATGGACAGTGTGAGCTTGCTTTAATGGATATGGTGGGTTCTCATTTGGGAGGATCCTGTTTGCAACAAACTGTGTATGTGCTCGGGGTGGTCCAAGAACAGAAAGGCAACCTGCTGCACAAAGAGCCTAAACGTAGGGGTCCCAACCATTTCCATGATTGGCAGTTTCACTTGGTATTAGTGGCTATCTTTTCAGGCTGGGAATGGAGAGAGCACATAAAGCTCCAAGAGGATCTCCTACCAGGAGCTGCTGGCCCGGGATGGGGACTGTGCCGGGTTCCTGTGCATATATGCCAGCACGGAGCAGGAGCAAGCCTCGGAAGATGATGGGATGACAGGCATGAGCAGTCCAGGGAAAAAAGGCCAAACAGATAGAAAACGGCATGCTGATGAAGGACGCTGTGGACAGGCAGCTGCAGAGACAGCTGAGCGGCTCCTCCTCCTACAGTGAGGATGGCACCAAGCACCACAGCAGCATGGCCAAGCTGCAGAAATCTGAGGCCAGGAAGGAAGGGACCTGGAAACCAATGGAGGCAGACAAGGCTCGGACAACCCCGTTCTGGAATGGAACCAGGAGCCCAGGGAGCCCTGGGCATTTACAAGGCGACTACTCCACGGTGGTGCTGCTTCCTGTGATCTGCACCTGGATCTACTGTAAAAGGCCTGTGGTTGCCCATGAACTTCTTTGAGTGGAGGCTCAGTGGGAACCTGGTTAGCCCTTTTTCCAAGGAGCTGGACATGGTGGATTCAATGATCCTGCAGGTCATCAAGATGTTCATTGGCTCCCCTCCTCCATACAGAGTGACAATGGACCTCCTTTTAAATAGGAGGTAACCCAGCAAATAAGTAGAGTTCTACATCTAGAATGAAAATTACATACATTTTAGGACTGATGCAGAAAAGTAGAATAGGGTATTGCTGCTTGTCCTCCTCTGAATTAGGATAGTCCTTAGAAGCAGGCTTAAGTCAAGCCCCTAAGAAATAGTTTATGAGAGACCCTTCCTAGCACCTCAAGCTAAGCATGGTAATATAACCATGAGTGAAAAAGCAGAGGAAAGGAATATGCCAAATGAGCGGGTCAGGTGCTAACCCTTATGAGTTTGCCTCTTTCAGGTCTCTGGTGCAATTGGAAACAAAGAAGTGGACGAGACCCTATGAAGTGCCTCTAGCAGCTCACAACCTAGTTGAAATTGTCAGAAATGAAAAAAAAAACCAAAAACCTTGGGTCCATCATACCAGAATAAAGAGGTGACCCATGGACAAAAAGGACCCAAGCCCCCAGTGGAGGGGAAAGTCTTTAGGTGATCTAAAGTAACCGTTTAAGGAAGGAAAAAAATGAAAGTGTAGATATTTTTTGTTAACCTTCTTTAATTATTTGTTCTGTCTATAAGATGGAGAGACAGCTCCTTAGTGAGGATTTCCCGGGACTGTCGCCTCCGCTGTTGATCTGTCTTTTGTTCAGTGCTGTATATAATGTCTGAATTTGCAGGAGCTGGTCTCTGGGGTCACCTACAGGGTGAAACTAGTCACTCTGCACTCAGAGGTCACATGCTTCTTTCTAGCTCAGCCCTGTATTGGACACTGTGTACATTTTCACTTGCCAGTTCCCACTATTGTAGTTATTGCTTATGGTTTTTTTCTGCTATTGTAAATATACTACCAAAGCTCTGTGATGACATACATAAATATAAACCTTCCATCTAAAATTGTCCCGGCCCGCGGGACCTTCTGTTACTCGCGGGGGCGAGGGGGACCGTGCCTGAAAGAGATGAGCGAGAGAAAGAAACGAGACCAAGCAAATGGTTGTCAAGGTCTGCTTTACTTAGATTTTTAGTGGGTTTTATAAGCATACAAAAACAAGGAAGTCAAAACAAAACATAGAGTGGTGACGATGAGGCTTGGGTCTGGGTTGATTAGCCCTAATCAGTGTCTTATCAGTATCTTGTTTTTGACTGATTACTCATCTCCAACCGGAACATTTGCAGTCAACACATCCTGGAGCATTCCGTGGTCAGCACGTCATGGACTGCGTTCTTCTTGGAGCTATAGCTGGAATTTTCCAGGGCGAAGTTCGTGCGTAGGACAAGTCATAGGGGAGTTGAGGGTCTTTGAGGGTCCTTGCCTCTAACATAAAATGTCATCCCCATTTCAGCAGGAAGTAGCCCGATGATGTTGCCCCTCTTCCCATAGATACGGAAGGGGAAAATTGACGGGGGGGAATATTTAACTGAAGAGTCTCCCCTCCTCCCATAGATGTGGAAGCATAAAATCGAGAGTGGGGAATATGTAATGGAGGAAACGGCCTGAAAAAATGGCAAAAATAGTTTCTGTCTCTTTAAAACATCCTCCACTCCTTTGTGAGAACAAAGACCTGCATCCCTGCCTCTGGTTGGGCAGTGGTTGGGAGGAGTAAGGATGTGTTTTGTTATGGGAGATGGCTCAGCCATCCTGGGTGGGCCCAGGTGGGCTGAGTTCACAGGCTTTGTCTTTCCTAATTTTCCATAGGGCCATGTACCCGCCCTCCTCCGGCCCAGTCTGCTATGAGGACATGGGCAACAGCACAGCAAAGTGGCGGATGGTGCTACAGATCCTGCCCCAGACCTTCGGCTTTGTCCTGCCCCTGCTGGTCATGCTGTTCTGCTACGGATTCACCCTGCGCACGCTGCTTAAGGCCCACATGGGGCAGAAGCACCGGGCCATGCGGGTCATCTTTGCTGTGGTCCTCGTCTTCCTGCTCTGCTGGCTGCCCTACCACCTGGTCCTGCTCACAGACACCCTCATGAGAACCCATGTCATTGCAGACACCTGTAAGTGTCACAATGACGTTGACTGGGCCCTGGAAGTCACCATCATTCTGGGCTTCTTCCACAGCTGCCTCAACCCTCTCATCTATGCCTTCATTGGCCAAAAGTTTCGCAATGGACTCCTCAAGATCCTGGCCACCCGTGGCCTGGTCAGCAAGGAGCTCTTGCCCAAGGACAGCAGGCCTTCCTTTGCTGGCTCTGCTTCAGGGAACACGTCCACTCCCCTCTGACACTCCTGCCTCAGTGCAGCTCCTGGGGGTTCCTCCCTTCCCTCCGGCGTCCTATTCCAAGCCCTACGTCCACTGGCTGTTCATGGTGTGAGTGTCACTGCAGCCCCATTGTGGTTGCAGGAAGGGGCAGAGGCCCTGTCCTTACCAGGCCCCCACTGCGTGGTTTAGAAAGTCTGCCCTGGTGCCCCCCCCCTTGCCCTCATCACTAGGCCAGCGCTAGAGCTCTGTCCATCCTGCCACTGGCCACGGCACTCTGCTTTGTAAGAATTGCCCATCAAAGCCACAGTGAGATGCCACGCCCGCTAGGATGGCTCTTATGACACACACACAAAACCTCATGAAACAGTAAGTGTTGGGGAGCATGTAGAGAAACTGGAATCCTTGTGTGTTGCTGCTAGAAATGTAAACGGGGCAGTCACTATGGAAACACTGTGACAGCTTTCATCAAAACCGTGAACAGAGAATCACCACGTGATCCAGCAATTCCACTTCTAGGGATGTCCCCACCCGTGTTGAAAGGAGGGACTCAAACAAATATTTGGACTCCTGTGTTGATAGCAGCATTATTCACAAGAGCCAAAAGGTGGAGACACCCACATGTTCACCAGTGAATGAATGGCTAAACAAAATGTGGTGTGAACCTGCAGTGAAGTGACATTCAGCCGCACGGATGCAGGAAGTGTTGATGCACATTGCAACGTGGATGGACCTTGAAACATTATGCTGAGTCACACAAGCCAGACATAAATGGACAAAGAATGTACGCTGCTGCTTCTATGAGGAACCTGGACTAGTCAAATTCACAGGGACAGAAAGCACAACAGTGGTGCCCAGGGCTGGGGACAGGAGAGAGGGGTGCTCTTATTTAAAGGGCGCAAAGTTTATGTTTTGGGTGAGGAGAAAGTTCTGAAGATGGACAGTGTGTACAACAAAGGAAATTAATAAACACCTTAATCTGCACATTTACAAAGTTATTAAAGTGGTAAAATTTGTAATAAATATTCTTCCTCTATGAAGGAAAGAAGCCATGGCCTCAAAAGGCACCTTAACCACTGAACCAGTATTGGAAACACATACCTATAATGTTTTTGTTTAATGAGTTCATTAAGTGTCTTTTCTGGTATAAACCACTTTTACTTGGGTGTTTATTTTACTACTTTCAACCAGAAGCATCCAATCTGCTACAGAGAGGTGGGGAGGGGTGAGCAGAGGGCCCGGGTGAAGGGCTTTGCAGGAAGTAGCCCCTCTGCTATGTGCTGTGTCCATAGAGAAGGGTTGGAACAGAGATGGGGACCAGCCTGCCCACCCCCAGCCCCAGCCCACGCCTCCTGCTGTGGACCAGCTGTCATGCAGAGAGATGTGTTCTGGGATCCTCTAGTGTGTGTCACATCTGTGGGTGAGACAGTCCTCAGGGGAGTCAGGGTAGGATTTAGAAGGCTCAGAACGTTGAGGAAATCCACCCGATCAGCCTGATGAGGGAGCAGGAGGGCAGAGAGCTCCCCTGAGCTCAACCAGCAGTTACTATGTTCAAGGCCCAGATCTAAGCCCAGGGGATACAGCAACGAAGGAACTGACACCATGAATCTCTCGTCTTGCTTGCGGAGTTAGACAAGGAACAGGGTAAATAAGTAAACAATATAGTATATTAGATGGTGCTGACCACAGTGGAGAAAAAATAAAGCCGGGAAGGAGAATAGAAAGTGTGTGAGTGGTGTGTGGTGGGCGTGGTGCACGTGTTCAAGAGTGAGATCAGCATGGGTGGAGAAAGCCTTCCGCCTGAAGAACTTGAGGAATTGTGCCATGCAAATTCTGAGAAGAGCATTCAAGGCAGTGGAGATGGGCTGGGCGCAGTTGCTCATGCCTATAATCCTAGCACTCTAGGAGGCCGAGGCAGGAGGATCACTTGAGGTCAGGAGTTTGAGGTTACAGTGAACTACAATGATGCCGCCACACTCTACCCAGGGCAACCAAGCAACACTCTGCCTCAAAACACACACACACACACACACACACACACACACACACACACACACAAATACAAACAACAAAAAAAGGGGCAGAGGGACTAGCAAGTGCAAAGGCCCTGGGGCAGGAACACAAGTGGTGTGCTCTAGGAAGATCACAGAGGCCAGAGCAGCTGGAGTGCAACAGGCCAGTGGCAGACTGGCAAGAGATGAAGTCAGAGAAGTAGGAAGGGGTGTGTGTGTGTGTGTGTGTGTGTGTGTGTGTGTGTTTGTGTGTGAGGGGAAGGTGGTCCATACCCAGAGGAGACAGTGATGATTAAATGAGGAGGAGCACATAGAACCATAGTCGCACACACATTAGGTGCTCGGTAAAGGCTAGTGACAGTTACGACTGGGACTCTAACTAGCCAAGGGAAAGGCCAGTCCTGGGATGTCCGCTCTGGAGCTGTCGTGTGCAGAGCGCGGTGGCTGCCCCGGCCCCTGGTCCCACACTCCGCAGCTCTGCCCCACCTCACTGCCCAGGCTGCAATGGCGGCCTCCAAGAGTGAGGTTACACGTCAGGAAGGAGAGGGACACGAGACAGTGCAGTCACAGAGGGGGCAGAGGCTCTTGCCTCAGTCTCTGGGAAACCCTCCCAGTCGCCTGGGCCTGGGGAGCCGGTGGGGGAGGGGAGGAGAGGGTCCCACCTGCAGCAGCAGCTCCAGGCAGCCGCAGAGTCTGTGCAGCTCAGCACTGGCGTCCGTCACTGGCCCCTGCCTGTCCCCGTAGCCCTGGAGGATGGCAGAGATGGCAGCTGCAGGGAGGAGGGTGGACATCAGACATCTGGTAGCAAGGCTGCTGAGGGACAGGCTCCCAAGTCCCCTCACTTCTCCTGTAGCTCAGTGCCAGAAAATCTCTCAGGATATACTCACCTTTCAGATCCCTGATGACCTTGAGGACGGCCCCATTTTCTGCCCTGGGGACTGGGAAATGATGTGATTCCTTGTGACTTGGAAGAGCAGACCAGGAAGGACCCTCTGGGCTCAGCTGTCCAACTCTCTCCTTATTCAAAGGAGCAATCAGAGCCTAAAGAGGGAACATGACTTACCAAGGGTCACACGGAGAGGTAGCTAGTGGGGCGAACCAGCCCAGCCCTTCCTGATAGGCCTGTGTGACAAGGTGGAGTGGCCTCCACCTACTGAGCAGGCCCTGTGTGCCAGGCACTGTGCTACTTGCTTCACATCCTGTCCCACTCAACCCCCATAATAACCCTGGGAGGCCATAACTCTACTAGAAACAAGGACGCTGGGCACAGAGAGGGTAAGACTTTATCCAACATCACAGAGCTATGCAGACTCATCTCAGGTGTCTGTGCCCACAGGACCTGTGCTCTGGGTCCCATGATTGCCTGTGTCCCGTGGACACCAGGCTATGGGAAGATCATCTCCAGTCCCCATGGAGAGCCCTCAGCCTTGCCCAAGCCATCATCCTCCTCGAGACCCCACTCATCCTTTCCTGGGCCCCAGCTGAGTGGAAGCTGTGTGTTCTTTGAGGACAGGGAAGCAGAAGCACAGGAGGGCCTGGGCTGGCTCTGAGCAGACACTGGCTGTGAGAGGGGGGAGGGGCACCTGCTCTCATCCTGCCACTGTCTCCCAGGGGACGCTCAGCCTGGTCTCCTCCTGGTGGGTCCAGGGCCCAGAGAGGGACATCGTGGCCCTGGGGGCTCTGGGCTTATTCTGAGATGCTGGAGTCAAGAGCAGGCATGGGTGGGAAACCAGGTGACCTGCCCCCCAGCCTGTGGTTGCTGGCGTTTGCGGGTACAGGTGGCTGCACTGTTAGACAATGAACAGGGAAAATAGGTAAATGAAATGGTATATTAGATGGTGCTGACTGCCATGGAGAAAAATTAATCAGGGAAGGAGAATAGAAAGTGTCTGAGTGGTGTGTGGCATACATGTTCTAGAGTGAGATTAGCATGGGGACAACACGGGGGGGGGGGCAGAACGCCGTGAGGGTGAATGAGGGATGATGAGTGGGGTGGGGTTAGGGAGGACAAGGTCGGGAGTCAAGAGACCTGGGTCTCCATCCTGGCCTCATTACTCACTTCCTGTGTGGCCTTGGGCAGGTCACTCTCCTCCCTTGGGCCTCAGTTTCCACATCTGTAGACCAATGGGTTGGACTGACCAACTCTGCAGGACCTTCCAGCCCAGATCCTCGATGGAATCTATGACCAGCTGGATGTACCTCCTCCTCTCCCTCACCCCATCTGGGGCTCCTCTCTCCTGGCTCCTGGAGTCACTCCTCTTTGCCAGCTGCCCCTAGGACCCAGGGCTCTCCCTGCTACCCACCTGGGAGGGCCTGGCTGGCTGGGGCTTGGAGAGCAGGGCTGTGTGGTCTGAGCCTGTCCCTGAGGACTGTGGCCATGCAGAGCACATCTCAGGGCTTGCAGCCCACCTGCTACTGCAGGGCACATCTCTTCTGTCACTTGTCTGGAGTGTGGTGCAGGTGGGAGGGGATGATAAGGTTCCCACCACCTGCCTGCCTCCCACTTCCCCTCAGTCTTGTCCCCATGAGAGCTGGTCAGCAGTGCCAACGCCCCTGTCCTGGCTCCCATTCCCACAAGGATGGCAGTGAAAGCAGCCGTGAGACGCTGTGTCCTGCAAGGGGCCAGCAGGGCTGCCCGGGCGCTGGGCCTCCCACCCCGCTGTGTCTGCCTCCTGCAGGCTGGGTCTTTCTGCCCTGGCCCTGGTTTCTCTAGGCGGCGCTGCCCCTGGTGCTAGTTCTGGGGACGGAGAGGTGAGGAGCAGGGACCTGGGAGGACTGTTGTTTTCAGAAATCCCAGGGACCACATGTAGACACTGGCACAGCCATACCCATGCCTGTGTGCCCTCTGCCCCGCCCCTGCCTGTTTTCTGGATCAGATTCAGGCCCCATCTGTCTCTTTCGTCTCTGTCTCTCTGTCTCTGACTCTCCCTCTTCCTGTCCTTTATCTGCTCCCCACTCCTCCTGTTGTGTCCTGGTTCTCCTCCTCGCCATTCCAGCTGAGCTCCTGCTACC